AGGCCCTCTTGAAGAAGTGTTCCACAAAAATGTCCCAAAAGTTCCAAAGCTGTCACTACTGGGAGTAATACCAGAAGGTATTGATGCGATGACAAATATTGCTTAAAGCAGCAATTAAATGCATCGCAGTGAAGTTGCTAAAACCTCGCCCCCGAAACATGCAACATCTGGACCGAGAAGTTCTGAGGAAACTTACAGACAGAAGACATGACATGCTCCGGAAACAGATAGAAATATAACAGATATAAATGTTAACAGTGAAGTGACTCTAAATCCTGCTACACATTCTGAATCAAACATTTTGTCATCTCATCTCGTATACTCGCACCATTCTCACACACACACACTTCCCCCTGAATATGATTGAATCATCTGCAGAAACTGAACCTCCTCACTGTATTACAGAGACACGACTTTAACCATCTCTGAGGTTGGGAATGATTGATGATTAAAGTGTCCCGTTATTGTTGTTTCAGACCATAGTGGATGAACAGCTCATCCTGAAGAGAGTAGCAGATGTGCTGATCAATCTCTACGCCATGACGGCTGTGTTGTCCAGAAGCAGCCGCTCCATCAGCATCGGGCTCAGGAATCACGACCACGAGGTGTGTACAGTACACACACACACACACACACACACACACCAAACTTTAATTAACACATACTCAGGAGTGTCCAGATTTATTTGGCCAAGCAGAATTAGGAAGAAAACACAATCTTTCTGAAATCCTCCATTAACCATTTAAATACTTGGCTACACCACGTGTACGGAGGAAGAGCGTCCGTGGTCATAACTTCAAAGGCCGTACACCTACACACCTGGAATTAATACTCAGGTTGAGCGGATTTCTCTGTCTTTCACAGTGAAAGACGTTTTCCATTTGGCTCAACAGATTGGTACGCATCGGTTTCTCTATATTGACACCATCTATCACTGATAGTAGGAGCAGAGCCTCACTGAACCCGTACAGTACCATGTGGCTGTAGAGCAGCAGCTTCAGTCCTCCGTGTGTCGATACAGCATGTGTCCAGGCACAGGAGTGAGTGTACACAATGTACTTGTTTTGTGAACACACAATCATTAGTTGTAAAACGGAAGGATATAGACTTTAAGTGTAAAATGTACGCTGTCCAGCAGCCTGTATAGACAGCCGGACCGGTTAAAGGTGCGGTGTGTAGCATCTATTAGCAGGTTTAGAATGTCATCACCATGTTTTCTTGAGTGTTGTAAACACCTGAAAATAAGAATTGTTGTGTTAATGTAGAATGAGCCGTCTATATACGTATAAATCTACACGCACGCACACAAAAAAAAAATAAGCTCGTATACTACCCACATTGTAGTGATCTAAAGTTGGAAATCTACAAAGTTTCTGTTTAATCAAAACACACGTCGTTCCTAATTAGCTCAGGCTGTTTTCACTGCAGCAAGTCGTCTACTGAACGCAATTAAAGCAGCATGTCAACATTCTGTCACCTCTGATTCTGTGCTCTTTTGTTGCCAAGCCATTTAATTGTGTCCATTGTGTGCGAGTGCTTTGACTTGTTTACTTAGATGTAGTATAGCTATAATTTTTACTTGGCTCTTTTGTCGAGGTGTAACTACAGCATGTGCCGCTCCACCTTCAAGCAAAGCAGAGCCCACCAGTGCTCAATGGAGAGCCATTAGAGAAGCCTCCTGTGTTTCAGATGGGCAGCAGTGTTCCTCTCCGCTGTAGCTACAGGCATAACACGCAGCTGCCCCACCCTTTGTGTTTTATGTAAAACACGCACAGAGACTTTAGAGATCCTGTCTAACTGAATTCCATTCCAAAAATAGTCGTTTGTCTTTTTTCCTTTCTTTTTTTGTTTCGCCCCAGGATCACCGAGTAATTCAAACCAAGTTCTGAATTATTTCAAAAGCAAATGTGGCTTCAATCATCCAGCGTAGTTCCACATGATAGAAGCTTGGTTCATGTTTGGTTTTGGGCCTGTTCATTTCGTGTAAATAATAAAAAAATAGAAAAACTGCTAATCTGACATTTGTGTAAATTGAAACCTATGGGTTATTGATGAAAATGGAAGCTGCGAACCTTTGCAACAGTCTCCCTTCACATTTGATTAGTTCCTGACATTTAGCACTTTCAACTGCCTACTGCATCATATTCTGTGTGCGCGCGTGTGTGTGTGTTCCAGTTGGATTCATGTCTGCCGTTTTCTTTTTCGCACGTTTATTTTTCTAGGTGCTGCTCGCAAACACATTCTGCAGCGACGCTTTCTTCAAGAACAATTACTGGATGACTCAGTTGCAGAAACGTAAGTACAACACAAAATGGTAATTGAGAACAGCCCCTTGCCTCGTTTTTTTTTTTTTTTTTGTTGTTTTTTTACTGCATCTCAGTACAAAAGACTTGCATGTGTTGCGGAATTTCCCCCAACAACAGCCCACATACCAACACATGAAACCCCTTGCTGCTTCTCATTTTCACACGGAGCGTGTTTTGTATGTGATCCAGATTTATCCGGTGACATGATCCAGACAGATAAAAAAAAAGTTGTTTCATATTCAACGAGCGAATGTGATTCCCACGTCCATTTTTCAGACTCTCCCGAGAACAACGACGCCAACATCAAGAAGATCGCCAGAGAGGTCCTGGAGAACCGAGCCTACGTCTGCTCTCACCCCCTCGAGCGGACATACTGAGCCGTCACGTGTGACCGGAGTGCTGTGGCTCCTCTCTTCTGATTGGACGATGTGGACCGGTCCAATTCACAGCTCCAGTGATTGTGACTCTATTAGTACTTACTTTGGTTGACATTATTCCTACACCCAATGAATAACTTAAGAGATTTATGTTAGTAGATACTATATTTTATTAACTTGGCTTCAAAGGTAACACTTTTGGGGACATGGCGTTACGAGCTTCATTCAAAGGGCTTATTAAGTTTAAAATAAAGTACTTGCACAAGATACGTGTTTTAATGGTTATTGGCCTACTTGGTCGACACTTTAGTTTTTGTGAGGTGCATACTTCTGAAAAGTGAAGACGCTCCTCTCGCGGTCCGTCAGAGGCAGGCCGGTCCACTTCTACTGGAAGGAGCGCTGCTTCCTGAATCCACTGTGAGAAGCAGACAGAACATAGCACATGAACACAAAAGCCTTTCATGGTTCTCTCTATAGTCTACTGGAAAACTCCTATATGAAGCCCAGAAATGTTGTGTCCCATCAACGTTTATGATTAAAATATAATCTATGAGATGAGCTTAGTCTTGGTTGCTAAAAGTTGCATGTTGGGCAATTGGAGTTATTAGCATAATGAGCTAATGAATTGCTTAAGTCAATGTTTGGGATGTCCATAACTTCATCTATTAGCACGGTGCAGTAGTGCAACCTTTCCTCATTATCATAATTAGCATGAATTATGTAAACATTGGGTCAAAATCACTGATGGACATATGGATCCACATCAATTTAGAAAGCATTCAATATTTAGTTTTTATTCCTCATTATGCTATTTATCCTCAACCACAAAGGTTTCATTACATTTAGTAAAAAAAAAAAGGTTTTATGAGAAACAATGTGCAGCCCCCCCTCACCCATCCTTCTCCCAACGTCACCTGCTACCCTCCACTTAAAGCCCCCATGAATACCCACGGTGAAGGAGGGGAAAAAAGAGCTCACGATAAAGGTGTGTAACTGTTGTAAGTCTGTTGTAAGCTATGTTAGTTAGCTTAATTGCTACTTGGCTACAACGTTTTTCATTCGGAGCTTGAGTTTCTATAGGGTTAGCCAACAGGAATAGCTTAGGTAGGATTGCAGTTTCTTTTGAGTTTCTTTTCTTTTTTTAATTAAAATTTGAACTTTAAAACTGACGGAGGGACGTATGTCTGACGATGGCGGCGTTTTTGCCGGGGCCACGCTCTTCCCTTTCTCTGCGTTGTTGTTACCCAAATTCATCACAAACACCACTATTTGCTCTCTAACTGGATTTATTACCGACAACTGCAACCAGAAGCCCAGAAGAACTGAACAAACACTGAACTGAGGCAAGACGTTAAAGCCGCTAGAAATCTTTATTACACCGACTGTTTACATGCACCAAATATTACTGTTTTGGAGTAGAGACTTTTTGTGCGTCCGATTGCAATTATCCATGCAGCAAAGTGTAAACGTTGCCTTCGTTTAAGTCCTCGTGACCGATGAGGTGCAAAGGAATTCCTTAAAACTTCAAGCAAGGATTTTGAACCTGACAGAGAGAAACAGTGTTTGGGATTAAAATGCCTTGATTGCTGGAAAGCCTGCATTCTCTCTAATGGCCAGCAGGGGGCAACTCCTCTGATTGTATAGAAGTCTATGAGAAAGTGACTCTACTTCTCTCTTGATTTATTACCTCAGTAAACATTGTAATCATGAGTTTATGGTCTCCATCTCTAGTTTCAAGTCTTCTTCAATACAGCATGATGTTCATTTAGTAAATTATGGTCCATTTAGAGTCAAATAGACCATAAAGCAGGGTATGCTTTAGGGCGGGGCTACTGTGATTGACAGGTCGCTGCCTCTACATATACGGTGTCTCTACGTCACTCCTCCGCAATTCAAATATGGTCACTTTTGCTCACTGGTTGCAAAAAACCAAGATGGCGACGGCCAAAATGACGAACTCAAGACAGTCCACAAACCAATGTGTGACGTCACAACGACCATGTTCACTTCTTCTATACAGTCTACGGTCTGTATGCTAATCATCGGAGTGGATCTTGGGCAATGTTGAATTAAAATATCTAGAAGTCATTCCACTTTAAGAGCACCGTACCTTCAGCATCATGCCTGATTTCCTCACTGATTAATTATTGGGCTCATCTTTCTGTATCTCCTGAATTCTGTTTCCTCCCATGTGACACTTGAACTGTGGGAGGGGGGCGTTGCCTGGCAGCTTGGGGCCGCCACCAGGAGGCAGCTTCCCCAGCCATCAACAGTACGGCGCTCTGGCTGCCCCGAGCTGCTCCTGCTGCAGGTCTCCTGAGGATCAACAGCACACCTACTTAACTCTGTGGATTAAAAATTATGCTTTTATCGTCACATAACTGATAAAACTATTGATTTCACTTAACTGGATGGTTGGACAAACACCAGGACAGACGAAAGCAGATCATTTTTGTTCACTGCTGATATCTGAGGTTCCTCCCTGACCAAATCTATCCTCCAGTGTGGTGTGGAAGTGTGTTACTCAGCAGTAAAAACACTGGCTCAAACAGCCGCCATCTGGAGCCTCGATCAAAACATATCAATATTGGCCCTCAATACTGAGGAAAAGCTTACAGCCCAGACAGTTAAAGGAAAAAATCCAATCTTGGATACTGTGACTGTTGAACTTAGTGCGCTAGTCACTGTGTTGTACAGTGTGTCCAAAGCAGAGTTATTGTAAACTAAAACTGACACTAAAACAAAAATAAGCAGTAAAAAATAGTTAGTGAACTGAGACTAAAAACGATATCCTTTAATAAAACCAAAATTAAACTGAAATGGTATTACCTGGTGTATGTGTACATATATATGTATGTGTATGTATGTATGTATGTGTGTATATGTGTATATGTATATGTGTATGTGTATATGTGTATATGTATGTGTATATGTGTATGTATATGTGTATATGTATATGTGTATATGTGTATATGTATGTGTGTATATGTGTATATGTATATATATATATGTATATATATATATATATAATATATACATGTGTATGTGTATATATATATACATATATATATATATACATATATATATATATATATATA